GGGCCCGGGAGGTAAGGAGACAGCCGCGGGCCCCTCCGGCCTCTCCCTCCGCGCGGCCGAGGCGCCGGGAGACCCCCTCCGGCGTCCCCTCCTTTCCGCTTTAGTCTCGTCCAAAGGTGGGCCCCGCAGCCCCCGGTTTCCGGTCGGATCCGCTGGTCCTCTGCGGAAGGCGAGTCCCGATGCCAGCACTCGATGTAGCAGAGGTTATGGGGCCTTGGGGGACCCGCGCCCGGCTGCCCGGGGCCTGCGCACCGGCTCTTCCAGGGCGCCTGCCCCTCAGCCCGGATGCTCAGGACGGCCGGGGTGACCTCGCTTCTGGCCCCACCTCGGGCTCGCGGCTCACAGCCAACTCCCGCCAGTCTCTGCAGGTGGAACTGTTTTCCCGCGTTAAAACGCGCTGTTCTCTTGTGCTTCCTCGCTAGAAAGACTACTGCAGAGTCCGGCGGGAGAGTTACTAGGGACAGTGTGGACAGGTCTGGAGCGGTCCTCGTGTTTGACCTTTGGGGACTCCTGCTGTGACACTTAGATTTGAGTCAGGAACCTCTAAGCCCATTTCACCCCTGCACGAAAGCTTGGATGTGCCCGCATGGGTGCCGATGGTGGAGGAGCAGGTGGAGGAGCAGCCAGCCGCAGGGTGCGGTCGTCCAGTGGTAGGGGTCTGTATTTATTTCCCAAACTTGTATCCACTCGGTGCACCTAGTGAAAAGTACAGCATCTTGAACTCACAGGATCTGAACTCCAGAGGTTGAGCTTGGGAATCTTGTTTAGAACAAGTGTAGGTGATTTTCCCAAGGAGGTGAGTAGAAGTACTGTGTTAATTCACCTGTGCTCACTCAGTCGTCCTGGTGACTAGAGGCCCACTGTGCACAACGCTAGAACCAGAGCCATACGGAGGAACCACTCAGGAAGTTAGAGCTGTCACCCTGCTCTTGTTGACATCAAGATATTGGTGCAGATCCAGCTCCAATGTTAAGATTGTTTAAGAAAAAAAATTTTAAGAGAGATTTTTGCTACAGGGCTCATGCACTTGCCAGAGAGACAGAAAGCGTGAAATTGCCCCTTCGGGTGGATGACCATGCCTCAACCCCTTCTTCATTCTCCTCTTGAGATTTTTGGGCATGCATGTGCATGCATTTGCTTGAGTTTTAAGCCATCAGGTCCAGGACTCAAACTATGGTCAACTACGTGGAAGTTCAGTGACTTCACTGTTATGCCATCTGCTGGTCCCAACCAAATTATTATTCTTAGCAGACAATATTATATAGTTGTTTTCTAGACATTTAAAAAACATACAGTTGGGGACCAGCAGTTGGTGTAAAGACTATGTTGCTGGACTCCCATGTAGTTGACTGTGGTTCGAGTGGTGGACCCCATGGCTTAAACTCACACCGGGCGCGTGTGCATGCGTGCCCAAGATCCCAAGAGGAGAATGGAGGAGAAGGAATTGCGGTGTGGCCATCCCCCCTGGGGGGTGATTTCTCACTTTCTGTCTCTCTGTCTCTCTCTGGTGAGCGCACGTGTCCTATAGCAACAAAAAACCTCTCCAAAAAAAAGTACAGTTTTTTTTTTTTTCAATTATTGCCAGAGGGCACATGTGCCCACCCAAGAGAGACAAATAGACTGAGAGGGAGAAAGTACCCTCCAGTGACACGCAGTGACACCTCAGTCCTTTGGGGGCACATAAGCACATGTACCTGACATGTTTTTCAAGCCACTAGGGTGATAACTCGAACCACAGTCACTCATGTGGGACCCAGCTCCTATAATGCACATTGCTTTGCCATAGTGCCACAGGGCTGGCCCTCAAAATATTAGGTTGTCGAAAGAGACATGACGTATTCTTTCTATACGAAAATGCACCATGACTTTTCTGACAGCCCCAGGTGAATAATTTGTGTTAAACCTGGTCATTTCTTTTCCTGACATCTTCGGTTTCTTCTCTACTACTTTACCTTCTTGGTGAGCCAGATTTCCTTTGGTGTTGCTGCCAAGCCTGCTAGAGTAGACGGGCACCTTCCCATCCCTCGTTGTTTACTTTAAACTCCGCCCTCACTGCTTAGCTCTTTTGAAGGTCACTCTTGATAAGCACAAAGTCAGTTCTTTTCTAGCTTCTTACAGTCCTGAGCTGCCTTTTTTTTTTTTTTTTTAATTTAAGAGAACTGTCTGTTTATAGGGTCTGTGCTCTCACTAGAAAGACAGAGACAGATGGGACCAGCAGGTGGCGTGGTGGTTAAGGTGTTGGACACTCCCACATGGCTGACCGTGGTTCAAGTCCCAGACCTGGTGGCTTGCTTTCTCACTTTCCCTATCTCTCTCTCTCTCTGTGTCTCTTTGGTCAAATTAAAATGAATGAGTGAATAAATGAATAAAATTAAATAAAATAATTCTAAAAAAAAAAAAAAAAAAAGACAGGGACAGAAAGCGAGCAATACTCCTCCACAGTCCCTTCTCTTCCATTCTCCTCCTGGGATCTTGGGCACACACACACTTGCTTGGTGTGAGTTTTAAGTTGCCGGGTCTGGTACTCGACCCATGGTTGACTACATGGGAAACCAACAACATAACCATTATGCCATCTATTGGTCCCTAACCCTGGGCTTTTGACAAGGTTTATTCCCTCTTGAAACTGACATTATTTTTTCTTTTTCTCTCTTTTCCTTTTCTTTTAATTGCCAGAGGGTACATGTGCACTGGCCAGAGAGAGGGAGGAAGCACCTCCTGTGGGATGTGACCTCAAGATCTGGGGCATGCACATACACATTCCCACTCCGTTTTTGTTTTTGTTTTTTTTTTTTTTTTGAGAGGTTTTTGCTATAGGGCGTGTGCACTCGCCAGACAGACAGAGAGAGACAGAGAGACAGAAAGCAGGAAATCACCCCCCAGGGGGGATGGCCACGCCGCAATCCCTTCTCCTCCACTCTCCTCTCAGGATCTTGGGCACGCACGCACACGTGCCCGGCGTGAGTTTAAGCCACTGGGTCCGGGACTTGAACCACGGTCGACTACGTGGGAGTCCAGCGACATAGCCATTACGCTAACTGCTGGTCCCCACTCCGTTTGTTTTTTAAACTGCTTGGGCTGGAGTTAAAACCATAGTAGGGGCTGGCAGGTGGTGTGGTGGTTAAAGACTCCCACATGGCTGACCACAGTTTGAGTCCCAGACCTGGTGGCTTGCTTTCTCTCTTTTCCTCTCTGCCTCTCTCTCTCTCTCTCTCTCTCTCTCTCTCTCTCTCTCTCTCTCTCTTTGGTCAAATTAAAATAAGTAAATAAATAAAGTTAAATAAAACAATTCTTTAAAGAAAAACGTGGTCAGCCACGTGGGATCCAATTCTTTTAGCCACTGGACTGTGGGTTTATTAGATTTCTTCACCATCTTTGCAATTCCCCTTTTTTAAAAAAAATTTTTTTTATTTAACTTTATTTATTTAATTATTTATTTTTAATTTGACCACAGAGGGACAGAGAGAGAGGAAGTAAGCTGCCAGGTCTGGGACTCGAACTGCAGTCGGTTGTGTGGGAGTCCAGCACCCTTAATCACCACGCCACCTGCTGGCCCTGTAATTCCCTTTTTCCTGCTAGAAGATGTGCCTCTGTTTCTGTCCATTCTGTTCTTACAGCTGCCCTTTCTTTACTCCTCTGGTCTTATTTGAAAGGTAGCAGGAAGTACTGGGTAAATGGCAGGCTGTCTGCCAGACTGGCAGGGTTTGAATCCCGGTTCTGCCACTCACTAACATTAGCACCTTGCATGAGTCACTTCACTTACCTGTGTCTTACTATTCTTGAGGACAGAACAGAAATAGAAATGCTGATATCTACCTCCTGGGGTTGTGAGGAATAAATTGTCTACATAAAGTGGCATCTGGCCCATTACAACCACCTGTACAAATACCACCTTTTAAAAACGTCAGTTACTTAAGGCCCTCAGATCTGTGGACCTCACCTTGAGAGCTCCGAATTACCTGTGTTTTCCCCCCATTTCTTGTTTTCTGTTCTGATTTATTCACTGATACATATCTCCCAGGCACCTATGCAGAGTGCTGGGAGAGCCGAACGGTATAACTGATCTCTGCTCTGAGAGGATTCCGTTATAATGGGGGTGGTCATGACCACGTACCAGATGCTTCAGAGATGCTGGTTGCCGTGTTCTCTCTGCATCCTCTAGTAAATACCTAATATATCCCCCCAAGAGGCATAAACACACTTGCTGGACTCTAGACGTGGTAAAGAATGATACCACCTGGGCCTGCAAGGTGGCATGGTGGTTAAGGTGCTGAACTCCCACATGGTCAGCTGCAGTTTGAGTCCTGGAACTGGAGGCTTGAAAATCATGCCAGACATGTGTGTGCATGCCTAAAATCCCAGGAGGAGAATGGAAGAGAAGGGATTGTGTGGTCATACTCGCTAGGGGATGATTTCTCACTTTTCCTCTTACTGTCTCTCTGTCTATCTGGCAGACACATGCACCCTATGGCAAAAATCTTAAGAAAACAAAAAACAGACCTGTCACCTATCAGGTGTCGTTGATGGGAGCGTCAGATAAGATGTCAAATAGGCAGTCACCTGAGCAGATTGTCTTTAGGAGGAGAGGAGGTGGCTGGAGCGGAAGGAGAAAGTCCAGGTCTGACATCGTTACCCGGGGTTCAGTCTGGCTTGATTAGAGTGTGAGAGGAGGGAAGAGGGATGAGGCCAGAGAGGAAACCGGATTGTGAAGGATCTCGCTTTGTATTAAGGGGTTGTTCCTTTTTCCTGAAGGCACCGGATAGTCAGTGACAGGTGTTAAGTGGAGGGTGTGAAGTGAGGTGTTCAGTCGTAGAAGACTTCTCAGACTCCTGTGTAGAGATTGGGGTGTGGACAGGAGAGTCGTGCAGACTGGAGCTTCTGCAGGAATCGGAGTGAGGTGCGATGGTGGTCTTGGGTACAGGCAGCCGAGATGGCGAGAGGTCGATTGATTCAGGAGATTTTGAACGCAGCCAGTTAGGCCTTGCTGACGGGATAGAGGAGATGAGACAAAGGGATCGAGGCTAACACCCCAGATCCCGGTATGTGGCGTCACTGGGGGACACAGGAAGATGGCGCGCAGCCCCACCTGTGGAATCCTGGTGGAGGCGGCCGTCCTGCAGCTAGGTGTGCAAGCCTGCAGGGTTGTGCTGGCTGAGGCCATCCGTCACGGGAGGAAACGAGAGCACCCTGGGAGAGGTGTGGTAGGACAGGGAGAGAAGCAGGCCTCGGAGCCCTGTGGGACAGCGACACATTCCGCAGGGGCAGAGGAGAGAAGCCAGCAAAGGAGTGACGGGGAAGTAGGTGTCGAAGGGAAACAAGGAGACGGCGTTCACTGCTGCCGTGAGGTCAGCAGCAATGGTGCCTGGGAAATGTCCTTGGAAACTAGCAACATGGGCCATCTTGGTGAAAGTAGTGTTGGGGACATGGTCGGGCAGAGCCCTACTGTGATTCAGGGAGAGTAGGATGGGGAGAAACCGAAAAACAAAACATCAGCAATCCTTTCCACATATTAATGTATTGTCAGGTGAAAAAGAGAAGTGGCGGTTTATGTGCGGAGGTCACTTTTTTCTTGGAAAACCTGCCAACAGACTATGTGGTCATTAAGGAATAAGAAAATAAGGAGGGCTGGCCCCATTGCCTAGCGGGTAAGGAGCCACATCCCACATGGCTCACATGGTTGGAATTCCGGACTCTGCGGCTTGAAAAATGTGCTAGGTGCATGTGTGCGTGCTCTCGGAATCCCCAGAGGAGGAAGGAATGGAGGAGAAGGGAATGCAGTGTGACATGCCCCACTGGCGGGGGCTTTCTTCCTCCCTTTCTCTGGCAGTTAAAAAATGGAAAAGAGGAGCTTCAGGTGAAGTCGGTGATAGACAAGTGGACATAGGCAGCCTATTGCTGCAAAATAATAATAATAATAATAATAATAATAATAATAATAATATCTGGGAAAGAGGAGCCAGCAGGTGGCATGGTAGCTAAAAGGCACTGGATTCCCACATGGTAGACTGGAGTACCCATCCTGGACCTGGTAACTTAAAAATCATGCCAGGTGGGCCAGCAGGTGGCATTGTGGTTAAGGTACTCGACTCCCATCTGGCTGACTCCAGGTCAAGCCCTACACCTGATGCCTTGAAAATCACACGTGTGCTTGTGTTCCCAAAATCCCAGGAAAACAGAGAAGAGATTACAGTGTGGCCATCCCTCCTGGGGGGTGATTTCACACTTTTCCTCTGTCTCTATCTGTTTCTGCCCTATGGACTCTCACATGGCAGACCTCAGTTCGAGTCCCAGATCCAGTGACTTGAAACTTACGCCAGGCACGTGTGTGCATGCGTGCCCAAGATTCTGGGCAGAGAATGAAGGAAAGGGGGTTGCGGCATGACCTTCCCTGGGAGTGTGGTTTCTCACTTTCCCTCTCACTGTCTCTCCTCCCCACCCCCAGTCTGGGCAAACACACGCACATCCTAAGGCCAAAACCTGGAGAGTGGGTGGCACAGATGGTGTAATGGTTATGTTGCTGGATTCCCAAGTCAACTGTGCTTCGAGTCCTGGACCTGGTGACTTTGAACTCACACTGGGTGTGTGTGTGTGTGCGCGCGCGCCAAAGATTATGAGAGGAGAATGGAGGAGAAGAAATTGTGGTGTGGCCACCCCCCAGGGGGTGGTTTCTCACTTTCTGTCTGTCTCTCTGGCGAGTACACGTGCCCTATAGCAAAAAATCTCTCTTAAATAAAAAAAGAAAAAGATGTGTGTGCATGTTTGAATGTGTGCGCATGTTTGTACATGTGTGCATGTCTGGATGTGTGTTGTGCTTGGATGTGCGCATGCACGTCCAAAATTCTGAGAGAAGAATGAAGAAGGGATTGCAGCTTGACCGTCCCCTGGGGGTGATTTCTTACTCTTCCTTTCTCTCTCCCTCCCCCCCTCTCACCCTCTCTCTTCCTCTCGCCCTCTCGCCCTCTCCCTCGCCCTCTCTCCTCTCTCATGAGCACATGTGCCCTATAACAAAAACGATAAATAAATAAATAAATAAAATTCCACTTCCTCCTGATGTCAGAGGGCTTTGTGTACCTGCCTTTGCAGCTTTGTCACATGTCTTTTCTTCACCGTGGATACATGAGCCTCCTTCTTACCTGGGGGGCCTTTGCACGTGCTCGTCCCTCTGTCTGGAATATTCGTAGATGGTTTCTTGTCTTAGCCATCTCTTTTCAGATGTCATCTCCCTGGGCTGGCTCTGTGGCACAGATCCCACATGGTGACCGTGGTTCCAGTCACTGGCCTTGGCCGTGTAAAACACTGGGCATGGCCCAGCAGCTGGCATAATGGTTACATTGCTGGGCTCCCACATGGCCAGCCATGGTTTGAGTTTTGGACCTGGCATCTTGAAACTCAGTGCCGGGCACGTGTGTGTGCATGCCCAAGATCCTGGGTCGAGGATGGAGGTGAAGGGATTGTGGTGTGGTCATTTCCCTGGGGGGTGGTTTCTTGCTTTCTGTCTCTGTCTGTCTGTCTGTCTGTCTGGTGAGCACCTGTACACTTTAGCAAAATCTCTCCAAAAAAGAAAAAGAAACACACTGGGTGCACACCTCAGTGGCCAGGATCTGACAGGCTGGGAGACCGGAGGAAGGGGGTTGCGATGTGACCGGACCCTATGGAGAGTGCCCTGCTGCCCCTCCCACACAGACACACACAGGCTCTCTCATGAATGAAGAAAAAAAATAGTCATTTTTCTCGGGGCTTTTCCTGACTGGTTTACCTTAAATAAGCCCCTGCTTACTGTATTGCATTAACTTTATTTACTTATTGTGTTTGTATTTTGTCTGCTTCTTCCCCAGTTCATGCCCACAACCTCTCAGGTCTGTTTTATCAAAGCATGGACTTCCTCCTCCTCCGCTGCCGTATCTACACAGCACAATGTCTGAAATTCACCGGGTCCTCAGATATTTGTTGAATGAATGATTATTGTTCTTTGTTAAATCCTTTTCTCATTACTCCTATGTGCTGAGTTTAATGGAATGACATGTGTTTGGCTTTCTCTGTCCAGTTTGAATTCTTGGGACCTTAGCTGAGCGAGAGCACCTCTCTCAGTGGACAGACGTGATGTTCTACCGGTTGCTATCGGTTGTCCGAAGACGAAGAACCAGTCCAGGATGGCAGAACTGGCCCTCAGCAAGAAGCAACGCATCCTCCGCTGCAGCACCCTCTGCCGCCTTGCCAGCCCAGGCCCAGGTGGTCATCTGTGGTGGTGGGATCATGGGCACGTCGGTGGCCTATCACCTCTCCAAGATGGGGTGGACGGATATTGTCCTGGTGGAGCAGGGAAGGTAAGGATCCAGCTGGACTCCACTGTGGCTGTTCCATCGAGATGTATCAGCTTAGACTTGGATTTCTGTCTCGTTCAGTGAGATAGCTATAAGAGCACAAGGAGGTACTCATAAATGGAACCAACGTGTGTAAACAGGGACTCTGCCAGGCAAACCAGGACACTTGATCCCTTAGCTTCACGTTCTTAGTTTCCTTTTTTATTATTTAATTTTATTTGTTGTTATTATTTTTTATTTTGACCAGAGAGAGACAGAGAAATGGCAAGTAAGAAACAAGCCACCAGATCTGGGACTCGAACCCTGGTCAGCCGTGTGGGAGACCACCACCTTAACCACCATGCCACCTGCCAGCCCCCTTAGTGTCTTCTGACAATATTAGCTTTGAGTTCTGGGGTGGAGAGGCTTATTTCCATGTACTCTCAGGATCAGCAAGATCAGCGTAGCCCTATGCAGTGGATGTGGCAGTGGTGTGGACGGAGAAGTCATGAGTTGAGTTGTTTCCTGTTACATTTGTTCAGCATCGGGGAACCCCTTAACTGCCGCAAATGATGCTTGTTAGTCCACAGAGGTCATTGCCTTTGTTGATGGTCTTCTCCAGGCTCTGTCATCAGCTTTTCATTTATTCAAAATATTTTAAAGCTCTGACTGAATGTAGTTGCTTCCTACTCGTGATCATAATATGTCGGGGAAGCTGGATTCAGCAAGGGAAACTTAGTGGCAGAGACCAGTGAGTTTCACTGGTCTTCACTCTTCTCTTACAAATGACTCCTGGGGGGAACCAGCAGTTAGCGTAATGGCTATGTCACTGGACTCCCACGTAGTCGACCGCGGTTCGTGTCCCGGACCCGGTGGCTTAAAACTCACGCCGGACGCGTGTGCGTGCGTGCCCAAGATCCCGAGAGGAGAATGGAGGAGAAGGGATTGCGGCGTGACCATCCCCCCTGGGGGGTGATTTCTCGCTTTCTGTCT